GCCACGAAACTGAACCAGAGCCAAGGCTGAAGGTGTAACCCTGTGACGACCGCTGAGTAGCCAGGTCGTCAACCCAAGAAGCGTCTGAGTGCCCAGTGAGGACAACTGGGCTCGTCCCTCCAAGCACTAGCTTTCAGAAGAACTAGGCAAGAATGGTGCATTGAATGGAAGAATTGGGTACAAGTAGCAAACCCTAGTTGGGGTTGTACCCCATATTGGCTACCCCACTACAGCCTACCAACATAATACAGTTTAACACACCCCCATAGGCAAAGTGGGGGAGAACAAAGGGTCACAAGACCAGTCCAGCAAAGCAAAGCAAAGCCCAGGGTGGATCACAACGTCACCACACTCCGAGCACAAGCAAAGGCCTCAAGGCCAGTTCACATGCAGTGCTAGATATAGAACAGGACAAGCAGCAAGATATATATAAAGTACAGTACAAAGAAAGTCAAGCAGTAAGCAAATGAGGAAACGTGGACACAAGGCCTAAAGAAGTACAGTGCCGCTGATGATCACTAGGCGGGAGCGCCTTGGTGAAGATATCAGCAGTATTGGCCTTCGAGTCCACGTACACAAGCCGAAGCTGACCGCGCTGCTGAAGCTCTCGAGCAAGAAAGTAGCGAAGAGCAATGTGCTTCGTCCTGTGCTCCAGTCTGTGCTCCTGACACAAGGCAAGGGCCGCCTTGTTGTCACCGTACAGAACTGGAGGAGAACTAGGCCGCTCTCCCAAGTCAGTCAGCAGGTAGGTGAGCCAGCGTAACTCCTGTGCAGCCATGGCTGTGGCGTAGATCTCAGCCTCACAACTAGAGCCGAGAACAGAAGAAGAGCGGGTGGACCGCCACGAGACAGAACCAGAGCCAAGGCTGAAGGTGTAACCCTGTGACGACCGCTGCGTAGCCAGGTCGTCCACCCAAGAAGCGTCCGAGTGACCAGTGAGGACAACTCTGTCGCGTCCTCCAAGCACCAGCCCCATGCCTGATGTACTGCACAAGTAACGCAGCACCCTCTTAGCAGCCTCCCAGTGCTCTCGCCTGTGTCTCCCAGGCGCAACGTAACGAGCAAGGATGCTAAGTGGGTACGCGAGGTCAGGTCGCGTGCAAGTCATCAGGTACATGAGGCAGCCTACAAGCTCTGGGTATGGGCCACTCGGCTCTACGGACTCGTCCGAAGGTGGAGCTGAGAGCGAGTGGCTGGTAGCCAGAGGTGTGGCCTGTGGTGAGGAGAACTGGAAGCCGAAGCGCTGAAGGACCTGCTGCACCATGTGTGACTGAGTCAGGGTGATGGTGCGGCGAGCTCTGTCCCGGGTGATCTGCAAGCCAAGGTAGCTACGCAGTTCACCCAGGTCAGTGCAGGTGTGTCTCTTCTGCAGCTCCGACTTCACACGAGCGAGTGCCTCAGTGTCAGCAGTAGCAAAGACCAAGTCGTCGACGTACACGAGAATGTAGAACGGCGGTAGCGACGTGTCTGTGCGTAGAAACAGCGACGGGTCAGCAGTAGACGGCGCGAACCCAAGAGCTGCAAGTGTAGTCTTCAGTGTGTCGTGCCACTCACGTGGCGCCTGGCGGAGACCGTAGACTGGCCGGCGGAGGCTCCACTGGGTACCAGGAGGAAACGACCCAGTGAAGCCAGGTGGGCGGCGCAGCCAGATCTCCTCGTGCAGGCTGCCCTGCAGGAACGCTGTGCTGAAGTCAAGAGAGTGAAGCTCGTAGTCACGCTGAGCAGCAACGTGTAGCAGAACCCGAAGAGTGGTCATCTTCGGGGTGGGGGAGAAGGTCTGGAAGAAGTCAACCCCCTGACGCTGACTGAAGCCTCTAGCAACGTAACGAGCCTTGAAGACAGGTGGAGAACCTGGCGGCCGCTTCACCATGAAAATCCACATGCCATCGACGATGTTCGCCCCAGGAGGGGGAACCTCGTCGACATAGGTGCCTGTGGACTTCCAGGATGCCATCTCTGCGTCCATGGCTGTCTGCCACTGAGAGGAGTAGGGACCCGAGATCGCCTCTGCGTAAGAGCGCGGAGTGGGGATGTCTAGTGCATCCGGGTCTCCCTCAGGGGCAAGCAACCAGGCCACGAGATGAGGTACAGCAGCCGCAAGAGAGTCAAAGTCCTCCTGCCTGTCCTCAAGGACGTCCGTGCCAAGAGCACACTCACCCCCGACGGACGGAGGACAGACAGACTCAGACTCAGTAACAAGACTGGCGGCGTAGTCTAGACGACAGGCAGCAGCAAAGTCGACAAGCTCAGCGACCAGGGCAGACGCAGCAGCAGACTCAAACGACGGGTCAGTGACAACAGTGGCGAGAAGACGCGTAACAGTAGGGTGGGCAGCACGAACACTGTCAGACTCAGGGTCCGAAACGTCAGGCAAAGAAGACGCAGGAGGAGACGGTAGGGGGACACGCTGTGGACCAGTGGAAGGACGAAGGGCCATAATATGCGTGCCAGGAACAGGAGGAGGACGCGGACGCGCGACACGACGACCAGTGGGACCAGTGCGCGCAGTGCGAGCAGCGCGAGCAGCGCGAACAGGCGAGGCAGGACGAGACGCAGGCTCACGACGCTCCGTAAGCGAGTCCGGCTGTGCAGTGTAAGGCACAGGAGCAGGGAGGGGGGAGCCAGGCTGAAGGGGAAGGCCAGTGGAAGACGGGAGGGAAAGAACCTGGCGAAGCACCGTGTCAGGCGGCGGCAAAGCCGACGGCGACGGAGGAGCGAAGAACAGGCGCGACGGCGGAGCTCCGCCAGCACCTCCAGCACCCGGAGCACCAGAAGCACCTGGACCAGCACCCTCCGCCGCAGCACCCCCCGAGTCGGCGACGTCAGCACCAGAGGCCCCAGCAGCGTCAGACCTCCCCTCGCCAGCACCTCCAGAACCAGCAGGACCACCGTGTCCAGAACCGTCAGCTCCAGTGTCGTCAGCTCCAGCAGCTCCAGTACCGTCAGGAAGAGCACCCCCAGACGCAGCAACCCCAGGCTCCGTAGGCTCAGCAGCAGCACCCCCAGGCCCAGTACCCTCAGGCGCAGTACCCCCAGGCTCAGCACCCCCAGACTCCGTACACGCAGGCTCAGCACCCCCAGTCGTAGCACCCCCAGGCTCAGCACCCCCAGGCGCCGAACTCCCAGGCACAGTACCCTCAGCTCCAGCACCCGCAGTCCCAGCACTCCCAGGCCCAGCACCCGCAGGCTCAGCACCCCCAGGCTCAGCACTCCCAGCAGCACCACCTGCAGCAGCACCTGAGTCACCTGTGACCTCGACAGGCTCAGCGACGGGAGGAGGGTCTACCTGAGAGACACCTGAAGGAGCAGGACCCTGAGGGGGAAGGGGGTCTACCGGAGGGGGACCAGGAGCAAGGAAAAGCGGCGGGGGAGGGAGGGGGGCAGTGCGGTAGGGGAAGAGACGGTAAAAAGGGACCGACTCGTCAAAGGTGACGTCCTGAGAGGCGAAGACCCGGCGCGAGGTGGGGTGGTAAAACTGCCAGCCCGGCGCGTCAGGGACAAAGCCAAGGAAGACACAGGGAAGTGTGCGGGAGGAGAGCTTGTCCGCGGACGTATCGCGGACAAGGGCACGAGCACCCCACACCCGGAAGCGCGACGCATCGCCAACCTCCCCCGTCCAACGCAGTGTGGGAGAGGTCTCCGGCAAGGAGACACGGGGCCAGAGGTTGAGCTGATGCGCGGCGTACCGACACAGCAAACGGCCACAGAAAATGGGGAGCCGCCGCGTGGACCAAAGGGTACGAGCGACCTCCATGACCAGGCCAATGCGGCGCTCAGCAACCCCATTCTGCTGTGGGGAGTCCGGAAGCGTGAAGGTCTGCTCGATGCCCTCCGCCTGACAGAAGGTCCTCAAGAGATCGGAGGAAAACTCACCACCTCTGTCAGAGTGCAGACGCAGGACAGGAAGATCCGTCCGGAAACGGCGGCGGAGCTGGAGACGAACTGTGCGGATCCAAGGGATCAGAACAGCAGGGACCTCACCCTTGGTGCGCAAGGGGAAGACCGTGGTGTAACGCGAGTAGTCGTCGACAACCAGCAAAAAGTACTGCTCACCGCCCTGGCCACGAACGCGGGCTGGGCCCCACACGTCCAGGTGGAGGGTCTGCAGAGGAGCCTCTGTCGGGGGAAACGAGGAGGAGTGAGGAGCGGCACGCTGCCGCCCCTCGACGCAAGGAAGGCAAGGCGGCGCAGGCGAGGCAGGGAGGGGAGGGAGAGACCTGGGAAGACCAGACACAAGGCGGTGACGGTGCATGCCACGGAGGCGTGGCAAGGAGGGGTGACCCAGGCGGTGGTGCCAGAGAAGAGTCTGGTGTGACAGGGAACGACACTCACAGGCGTGGGCCACCAGACCTGACGCGGACACCTGACCGACAGCAGCGACCTGAGGAGACGCAGTGGTCAGTGTGTAGAGACTCGACCCCGGCCGACGGGTAAACGTAGCCAGGTGACGGCCGGTCCTGGAGCACGTGCAGATCGCCACACGCTGTCCTCCAGGGGTAAAGGTGTCAACCCACTGATCCTGGATGACAGCGTTGCTCACCAGGTTCGTCGAGAACGAGGGGAGGTGGAAACCCGACAACGAGCCAGACGGAACCGCCGGACAAGGGAGCACAGTGGTGGACCGGTGCAGGAAGCGGTGTGAGCTCAGTACTGTCACGAAAGAAACAGCGGGAAGCACCTGAGTCAAGGGTGAAGGTGTGACAGGCCTCAGCCGGTGCGGTACCTGAGAGAGCAGTCTCTGTGGGTGCTGTACCTGAGAGAGCAGACTCGCAAACAGCCGGGACAGCACTGGAGGGAGCAAGTACAGGGGGCACCATACCGGAGAGAGCAGACTCACTAGTACCCAGGGCAGCGGGCTCTATACCTGGGTCAGGCGGCACACACAAGTAACAGTCTCCCTCGGCACTAACAGTCAATGCATACATGGCAGCAATAATAGCATCATAGTCAAGAGCAAAGATATCAACACCAGCCCTCATGAGCTCAGCCCAGCGGGGGGCTCAGCCCAGCGGGGGGCGCTCAACATCCTTGCCCATCTCCTCACGCCAAGCGTCGTCAAGGCGGGAGAAGCAGCGGTACGGGGTGTGGAACGTCTGTCCCTTGCGGTCACCTGTGCGAATGACATAGGAACAGCGGCCATTGCCCCCCGACGTCCCACGCTGAGCAAGCCACTCACGAAGCTGCTGGGTCGTCTGGGGACGCTGCTGCTGCTGGGAGCTCTGGCCCGAGCCAGTGCCTCCACTCCGACCTCCGCCACCACCACTACCTCCGCTCCGACCGCCACCGCCGCCGCCGCCACCGCCGCCGCCGCCGCCACCGCCGCCGCCGCCACCGCCGCCACCGCTCCCTCCGCCGCCCCCGCCTCCGCTGCCGACCCCACTCCCCCAGCCACTCCCGCCACCGCTCCCTCCAGCACCGCCTCCCCCCCCACCTCCCCCACCTCCTCCCCCCCCAGCGCCACCCCCGCCACCCTTGCCCCCTTTGCCCTTGCCGGTGCGGCGCCTCCCACCAGGAGCAGAAGCAGCGCCAGCAGACTCAGCACCAAGGAAGTCAACAGCAGCAGCAGTAGCGTAGGAGGGACAAGGGGAGAGGGAGAACACCCCTCAAAGATGGGGGTGCGAGGAGCGCCACGAGCAGCACCGACAGCTACAATGCTCTTTTCGGCCGCTAGCAGCTGCTCCTCTAGGAGGGCGACTGTGAGCTCAGTGGGACAGCGAGCAAGGAAGTGGTCTCGAACTGAGCTGAGGGTGTCAGGGAGTCGGGTGACTATGAAGTGGAGTGTCCAGTACAGTGGAGGGGGGTTCTTAGCGCAGAACTCGGTGGGAAGGGCAGCACGCAGGCGAGCATCACTAGTGCGAAGGTGGGTGATAAGATCGGCGACTGTAGCAAAGGTGGACAGCTCAGGGAACAGGTACGGCAGCATGAGGCGGCTAAGCTCGGCTGTGGCAGGCGAGGAGTAGCGAGCAACGACAGCATCGTACAGGGCCTTAGCGGATTTGCAGTCGCCAAAATGCTCGAGCTCAGCTAGCGGGAGGTGACTGCGAATGGCTAGGCGAGCAGCTGCATCACGAGTCTACCAGTGGGAACGAACACTAAGCTCAGCTGTGGCAGGAGGGGCAGGTGCAGCACCAGACGCGTAATCATAGAGCGACACATGCTCCTTGCTATCGCTCAGAAGGAACAGCTGCAGGTCATCCAGCCAAGTGGCGAATTTCACAGGGGCGGCCCTCAGCA